ATCCATCAGCCCCCACCACGATGCTCAGCCCCTCTGGGCAGGGCTGCATGAAGTGGGGAGCTGCCACCAGACCTTCCCCTGCTCCAGCATCATGCCCAGAGCCCCAAAGGGCAATCGGGCTCCCACAACACTTCCAGACCCACAGCACTGCCCTGGAGGAGCAGCTCACCCCAGCACAGAACGGACTTGTGCAGCTTTTTCCCCCTCACCAGGAAAAGCCACACGCTGCTGCTCAGCCAGATCCACGCTCCCTTGATGCTGTCCAGATGTGATGAGCAGCCCATGCCAGCTCAGCTCATAGAAACACTCAACATAGTTACTGTGGGTGGGAACGTGACAAACAGGTGGTGCAGGCAGTGATTTATGAGTCATTATTATTGATGTTCGTAATCCACCAAAGTCAACAAGGGGCCTTCGGTGGGGCTTGGCAGCGACAGAGGGGCGTCCAGCAAAGCCAACCTCACCCTGACCCCCATCCCAGTCCTTCCTCTCCATTCATCTCCACCGCTTGCAAACATGGAAACAAATTCGATGCTGACAGTCAATGAGGAGCTTTGCAAAAGCAGCAGACCGGCAAGGATGAGCTGCCCCCATCCTCACCGTGGGCCTTTTTTCCCCACTCATGCCCTGGGGGTTGTTCTGCCCCATCTGGCTCTGCCAGTCCTGCCCAGCTCAGGGCGCACCCAGCACTGAGTCACTCACAGCCCCATGCCATTCCCAGCACCCGGTGCCCCCGAGGCCAACAGCAGCCTCATCAGTACCCAAAATCCCCAGCAAGGAGATTAAGCAGTGGGCGATTAGGACTGGATACAGATGAGCTGAGACTGAGAGCATCACCATGACCAGAGGGACCCAAACACACCGCATCGCATCCCACCCAGGTCCCCCCTCAGGTGCAGCTGCCTGCTAGGTGTTAGCTATTAACTCATCTCCATGCTCTAACTCATTAATTAATAACTCTGGTGTCACGGGCCATTTATTATGTGAAAATATTAATAACTGCTAAAGGTCTCGAGGGCATCCAGCCGTGCAGCACACACCTCGCAGCGCGAGCACCTTGCAAACATCAGCGGGCTGCCCCAGGTCCCTTCACTGCCATTTAGAGCCTTCAGGAGGTTAATTTAAGAGGTAATAAACACAGCAATAAAAATAACCATAAGCTCCAGCTCTGCCCTGGCGTGGGCTGCCGGAGCCCCGCGGGTGCGAAGTGCAGACCTGCCGGATCCTGCTTGCTCCGCTGCAGGGCTCGGTGCCGTTGGAGCAGGTGGCGCCGCGCAGCACTGGCGCAGCCCACAGCAGAGCTGTGCAGGACCTGCGCCGACAGCCCAGCGCTTGGAAAAGTCTCAGGCGGTTCCTGAGCTCCAAATCCCATCTCTGACACGAGTGACTTTCCCAGCACGTGCTGGCCCCATACGGAGCAAAACCCACTGCAGCCTCACACCCCTCTTTCAGTCTAAAGGTGGATTCTGGCAGTGGCTCCAAATATCACATTTCCCTCCACAGACCCAACAGCTGGCAGGCCTTCAAATCACCCTCCTAATCGCACGTAAATCCCGAGCAGCCTCCCCAGCATCAGAGATATGGAAATCCCATGAAAGCTGAGGGTACCCACGATGGCACTCAGCACCCACATCCCACTGCCACCCCCGAGGGACCCCTCTGCGCTCCCCAACGCGGGGATTCTGCATTACCCAGGACTGGATCTGCCAGACTCACCTTCCTCCTAAAACATGGAGAAATTATGACAGCTCCAGATGAAGGAGAAGACTGAGTCCTTATGGCCAAATTTTAAATTTGGAGGTGAGTTTTGTTATGAAATTTGGACAGAGAAATGGGAGAGGTGGGACTCACTCCATGGTCAAGCACAGATCCCCTGAAACTGAAGCTGAAACATCCCAAAAATCCCTGCAGCCACAGAAACCCAGAACAGGAGGCCACGTGGTCAGTGGGACAAGGCACATGAGCACAGGACCCACAGACATGGAGACAGCAGCTCCCAGCAATGTGGGAGCCTCTCAGCCCTGCGCCGTGACACTGGAGAGGCCAGGGACATTTTCCACATTGCTGAAGAGTGACAAACCTGATCGCTGACCTCCCCCAGCTGGCAGGAGCACGGCTGCAGCAGCACGGGAAGAGCAGAGATCCTGCACACGGATCCCCACGGGCTGTGGGGACACCGCATTCACCCGCTCCCCAGCCAGGAAGGCACTCCCCAGAAACGCTCTCCAAAAAACCACGCTGCCTCGTGCCACCCTACAGCCCTGCTGCAGGAAGCAGAGGTACCAGAAGGTCCAGTATCTGCTGACAGGACGGATGCATAGACAGGACAGACAGACCCAGCACATGCAAGGGCACAGATGGGCCACGGCCAGCTCCATTTCCCTCGTGCACGGGGAGGCTGCAAGCCCCCTGCTTGGGATCAGATTAAAGCTCACGGCAGCGGCCGAGATGCTTCTGAGTTTTCAAAACACATTATTTATAATCCAGAAAAGTGCCCTGCAGCCGCTCGTCATGAGGTGGGACGGCAGCCTGGCTGCGGGCTGAGGGTGCGGGGCTGGGTGGGCACCGCAGGCATCGCTCTGCATGGAGGGGTGGCACAGCCTGAGCTCTGGGCACCCACATCACTCCCATCACACCCCGCCACGGATCCAGCACACGGCAAACCTCTGCACTGTGCCGTGCCTCAGTTTCCCCATCCGTAAAGCTGAGAGTGCCGCAAGGAGAGGAAGAGGAGGAGCTTGGGCAAACACCTGCTGGAGGCAGAAAGCTCGGCATGAAAGATGGACGGCTGTATCCTGCTGCCAGTTTCCCATCGCAGGTGGAAGGCAGCAGCAGTGCCGTTCCCCAGTGGGTACAGGCCCAGGGGCTCCCCACCACGATGCCCCCACTTGGGGTCTGCAGAGCCCAGCCTTCCTCATCGAGGGTCACACATGGAGACCCAGTGTGACTGGCACCACGTGCCCCCGTGCTTCCCATCTCACTAACCTCGCACTGGGTGCTCACAGGCAGTAAGGCCAGAACCATCTGCAGCCCCTGGCCGGGCTGCCAGCACTGTGCAGCTATTCTGAGACACGGATGAGCTCCCATTTTTAAACCCAGCAGAGCTCAGCCCTGGTTAGATAACACAGGCTCTGCTCAAATCTCTCAGAGCCCAGTGGGGTGGCTGTGCCCCACGAAATCCCCAAACCCATGTAGGGGCCGTGGCTCCAGGCTGCCCCTAGCTCTGCCACGGCCACGTTGAGCTCCCGGCTGACGGCTCAGCGCCGGGCACCAGCAGCTCACGGGGCACGAGTAGCTCTGCAAGGACATCTCAGCCCGGGAGGGACCTGGGGATATCTCCGGTTCTGGAGAGACCCAGGTGGTGTCACGGAGGATGAAGGGGTACCCAGAGCTGCCCCAAGAACCTGAAAGGAGATGCTGGGTCAAACGAAAACTGCAGAGACCCAGACAGACCCAGAGCACCTGGAGGAATCGCACACCCAGAGGGAACCACGGGAAACCCGGAGACAAAGCACGCGGGGGGAGCTGGAGGAGACCCAAAAGGAACGCAGAGGACCGGGAGGAGATGCGCGCCCGAGGGAGAAGATGAGGAGCGCAGGGGGGAGCGGAGCACCCGGAGATGGAGCAGCCGGGACGCAGCACCCGTCGCAGCTCTCACCGATTTTGGTTTCTTCTTGGGTGTGAGGTTATCGTAGAACGCCTTCGTCTCATCCCAGGGCCGCCCCGCCGCTCCCGGTGCCCCGGCGGTGCCCGGCGGCTCCATGGCACAGCGCTCCGTGCGCACCGGGAGCTCCCGGCCGCGGAACGCCTTTATACGGCATCCCATGAAGCTCCGGGGTTTCATCCCACCGGGCCGCGGCTTAACCTCTTCGGGACCGAGCCCGCCCCGCCCCGCCGCCCCCAACCCCACATTAACGGCTTCGGGGGAACGGAGCGCTCCAGGGCTGACGCAGTCCCAGGGCAGCCGAACTCGGGGTTGGGGGAGAAGAGCTGCTGCACTGAGATGCGCCCCAGCCGAGGATTCCTCCGCGCCGTGCGCAGATCCGAGCGGTCGCGGTGTTGCGGGACTGGGGTGGCAGGGGGGCTGCGGGGCGACCACCGCCCCCGCGCGGAGCACAGCCCTCTCCCTGCCCAGGAGAGCAGCTCAGGTGCCCCCTTCCCTGCATGGCGGTTCAGCCCGGGATGCCCAGGTCTCAGCCAGCTGCTCGCACCCCAAGCCCTTCGGGACGCCCTTCTGGCAGCTGAACGCCACCGCAGCCCCATCGCAGCCTCCTTTTCCCCAGGGCCTTCGCAGCTCTCTGCGGCATATCCCCGTGCTTCCTCCGCGGAGGCCCCGAGGGGAGCAAGAATTTCCCATTCCCGGGGTCACCCTCTCATCGCCCTGAGCCACTGCTCTTTACACGGCAGCCCTGGCACAGACCCATATGTCCCCATAGCGCACGTGACCCGCACCGTCCCTCCCTCCCCGGCACGCTGAGCTGCACACTCCTCCGGGATGGCGCAGAGCTGCCCCTCAGCAGCTCCCGGGAGCAAGAGTGCTGCTTTGGCACCGTCCCATCCTCCTTCTCAGGACTGGGAGATGTGGGAACACTGTGGGATGGAAAGAGAGCCACGTTCCTGCCCCAGGCTGAGCCAGAGCTGCTGCTAAATCCGGAGAAGCACTTAAAGTTGGTGAGAGCTCCTTAGCAACAGGCACCGTCTGTGCAGGCTGGCGGTGGGGAAGAACGAAACGTGCAGAGAAGCTGGGGGTGGAGGGCTGATGTGCAGCAACAGCAGGTCCCAGCGGCTGGCAGTGCTGCAGTGGGCCCAGGATGCAGCCCCCAACCCAGGGGGCAGCTGCAGTCCCATTCCTGGGACATATGAAACCCCAGCAAGAGATGCCCGGCCCCCTTTCCCCCCCAGCACACACCCAAGATGATGTTATTCCTTCTCAAAGCTTCATGCACAGCTGGAGGGTTATGCTTATACCACCTCCTGTGCCAGGACTGCTCCCTCCCCAGCGTGTCACAGGCTCAGGGGAGCCCCAAAGTGGTGCTTGGAGCATTGCTCTCCCCTTGCTCCCCTGTTGAGCCACTCAGGGGGAACACCACCAATGGGGGACAGTTTATTTTTCCATGAAAAAAAAAAAAAAAAAGGAAGAAAAGTAGGTAATTCCACAGCCTCCTAACAGATATTACAGTCATTGTCACCACAATGTGCAGAATAAATACCACTGTGACAATATTGCTGTCCTGAGACAGGAGGGCAGAGGCAGGGGGCTGGGACAGCAGGCACTGCAGCAGTCAGGAGGGCCAGAAACACTCTGGGAATCCTCAGTAGTGCCAGAGCAGTTCTGGAAGTCACCTACCAGACAAGCTGGGGTGGTTTCTGGGATCAGATGTGTGCCATGGCCAAGGGTGGCCTCGGGCACTTCCCAAAATCCCCTGCCCAACCCTTGACTATTCCCACCATCAAAAGCAGAAGCAGAAAATCTACAGCTGGGTGAGGGAGGGGGGAGGGCAGGACACAACCCAGGACCAGTCCTGAGCCCCAACAGCCCCATGACGTGCCGCCAGCAGAGCAGGCACCAGGGCCCGGGCCCTGAGCCTTTCAGCAGCCGGGTCAGTGGGAAGGAGAAGAGCTGGGACAGGGATCCCCATGGAGACAGTGGGCAACAGGGTGCGAGGACAGCTGGCCCTGGGGTGTCAGGATGCTCCCCCAGTTCAGAGGTTTAGCTGCAAGGTCCGGTTTAGGGCACCTCGAGCCAGCAGTGCCCAGGAGCAGAGCAGAGGGGTGGCAGCAGGAACGGAGCACAGGGCCAAGCAGGCATGGGGCGCTCAGCAGGGCACGGGGACAGAAACCATCATGGGGAGCTGAGGTTGGCTGCAGCTAGTCCGGCCCTGAGCCCCAGGCCCTATTTCTGCACATCGCCCTGCAGCAGGAGGACGATGGAGGGATCGCTCTTGGCCGCCTCCTTGAACTCCTCCAGGGAGATCTGGTCGTCCTTGTCCTTGTCCATCTTTGTGAAGATCTTGTCGACGCGCTGCTGGGGCGTCAGCCCGTCTTGGTTCATCCGCATCATGATCACAGTCCCCACCATCTTGTAGATGGCCTGGAGCAGGGAGAGCAGCAGGGTGGAAGCTGGGAGGTGCTGGGACAAGGCAGGGCTGCTGCCCCACACAGCCACCTTTCAGCCGAGGTTCCAGACACCAAAACCCATTCTTTGGTGGCCAAATGGGACCCAAACCTGTGAAAAGCCCACAGAAAACGCAAGCTACCCCGTTTACTGGAGCAGCAGTACCTCAATGATCTCCAGCATCTCCAAGCGTGTGATTTTCCCGTCCCCGTCCAGGTCGTACATCTCGAAGGCCCAGTTGAGTTTCTGCTCAAAGGTCCCCCTGGAGGTGACAGACAGGGCGCAGATGAACTCTCGGAAGTCGATGGTGCCGTCGCTGTTCTTGTCGAAGGTGCGAAAGGCGTGCTGGGCAAACTTGGAGGCGTCACCATAGGGAAAAAACTGCGGGCAGAGGAGAGGAGAGAGATTGGAACAGGGAGGGGAGCTCACAGGGAGCAGAGCTCGGCACAGCAGGAGGGGGTGCTCCGACCCCACGGGTTGTGCCCACTCAGAGCCCACCTTGATGTAGAGCTGCTGGAACTCCTCCAGATTGAGGATTCCGGTGGGGCAGTCCTTGAGGAAGCCCTTGTACCACTGCTTCAGCTCCTGCTCGCTGAACTCCGTGCTCCTCACCAGGTCGTCCAACATCTCTGGGGCCAGCTTGCTGCTGTGCTTGCCCATGGCTGTGCCTGGGATGGGAAATGTGGGGCTCTGCAAGGTGTACGGGGTGGCCGTGCTCCCCAGCATCCGATCAGCCCCACACAACTCCCACAGCAGAGCCGACCGTCCCGGCTGGTGGCACTCACACACTGCCAAATGCCACCGCAGTGACTGCTGTCCTGTGCCACGGCATCAAAATGAGGAAAAGTCCCACCTGCAGCGCCCACCCCACAGCGCTGCACCCGCAGTGCTGCACTGCATACAGCGGCCCCAGTGTCACAGCCGTGCCCACAGCGGCCCCAGTGTCACAGCCATGCCCGTTCCCTCACAGCCCTGCTGCCGCTGCTCAGCCCAAGCAGCAGAGGGTTCGATGGAGCTCCCGCAGCTGCTCTCCATGGATAAAGTTGAGGACAAGAAGCTCACGGGGGCACTCTGGGATGACAAGGTGTGGGGGCGGCTCGGAGGCTCCATCCTCGACACCCGCAGCAACGCGGCCCCGACGGCACCGGCCCCGACGGCCGCCCAGCCGCGGCCAGCGGCTCTCAGCCCCGACGGCCCCCCCCCCGTCCGCTCGTTACCTGTCCGAGCGAAGTCGGTACCGCTGGCGAAGGGGCAGCGCTGCCGCCCCCGGCTCTGCCCGCGCCGCTCCCGCCCCTCTCTCAGCCTCGAGCACCCGCCCCCCCCTCCCCCGGCACCGTCCGTCCATTGGCTGGGAGCGCTGTCAATCGGTGGTGGGTGGGGGGCGCGAAATGCGATGCTGGGGGGCGTCCTAGGGGGGCTAGAAGAGGAAATGGGCACCCGAGGGCGGCAGCACCGATCTCCGGGCGGGTCACAGCCTGGAGAAGAGCCCCCGCATCGCCCGTTCCGCTGCCGCCCGGGAGAGATGCTCGTTCCCAGCGCGGAAAGCGGAGCGTTTCCATAGCGATGTCTCTGCCTCTCCCCGATGATCTTCCCTCCCCCAACCCGCCCCCCCCCGGCCCGGTCTGGGCAGCGGGGCAGTGCCTGCAGCCACCAGGGCTGGGCCCGGAGCCGCGGAGCCACCCGAAGTCCCTGCGCGAATCTCACTCCCTCCGACGGGGCCAGAGGAACGGTTTATAAGCAGAGACAAATATTTGCAGCTGTGTATACACAGCGTGGCTGCAGGGATGCATCACTTCGGGGGCGGGAGGACCGGATCCCCTCGGACCCCCCCTGGGCCGAATGCATCGTCCCTGCGCCGCGCCGTGCCCGTGTGCGGGGCCAGAGACCCACCCGAGGCTGCACGGAGCGGCGGGGAGCAGCGGGGAGGGGGCGCGGCGGGGGACGCGGCCAAGGACGGCGCAGTGCCCCCTACCCGCGGCTCCCGACCCCTCCCCGTCCCACATCGCCGCGGGATGCAGAGGGCAGCAGCTTCCCCCGGCGGTGCGGGCGGGGCTGTGCCCACGGCGGAGCCGCCATAGGGTGTCACCCCACGGAACGCCCCGTTTTCCGGTGCTCGGAGCCCTCCACCCGCGGCGGTTGCGGGGATGGGATGACAGTGGCACCGAGTGGGTCCCTCTCGCTGCACCCCCCCCAGCCTCCAGCCCCCCAGGACGCCCTGGGATAAGGACAGGAATGTGGAGGAGCGTCGCCCCGGGCCCGCAGCACCCGATCCCCGGGGTGCGAGGCGTCCCCGCGTCCTACAGCGCGCAGAGACCCGCAGGGCCGCGAACGCTGCCAGCCGGCACGCAGCGGGTTAAGCGTCCCCGGCTTCCTCGCACTTGAGACGTCACCGTCCCCGGTGGCGTGGGGGGGCCGGGGGCCATGGGGGGCTTTGTGGTGCAGTCGGCAGCCGGCGCAGGGCTGCACGCAGCGGCGGGCGGCTCTTCACCCCGCACCTGCGTTGCGGGAGCGACCGCACGCACCGGGCGCTGCCGCCGCCACCACGGTGAGAACGGGGCCGGGTCGGGGCGGGGGGCGGTGGGGAGACCCGGGAGGGGGTGGCGGTGGCGGGAGGGTGCAGCCCCCGGGATGCTGCAGCCCGGGGGGGCTCTGCGGCTCCGCACCCCGGAGCCGTGCGATAAATCGGCCGCATCCGCAGCGGAGCCGGCGGGGAGGGTGGGGGCACTGCTGGGGGTTCGGCTCCCAGAGCGGGGGGGGGCAGCGCCGGGGGTCGCCCGGGGGCAGGATCCAGCCCTCGTGCCGCGGTGCCCCTGCTGGGAGGGATGCTCGTGGAGATGGTGCGGAAATAATCCTGGGGACACCGCGGGCGTGGCTGGGGGGGGACCCTGCTGTCCCCAGCGCCGCATCGGCTGCACACAGCGCTCAGTGCGCGGAGTGTCCTTCGTGGGGGATTTGGGGTGCGTGGTCCCTGTATGGTGACGTGCAGAGGGGAGGCAGGGAGCAAATCTCCCTCCTGAGAGCCCCCCACAGTGGGATGTGCTGCCCACCACTTCTCCCACCTCACACCATGGGCCAGTATGGGGGGAGTAGGAATGGTGCAAATGGGGTGCTGAACCTCAGGGCACACGGGGGACCATAAGGACACAGAGGGGCCCAGCCTGGCACTGCCACACATTTCCATTCCCTGGCACAGGGCAGAGGGGCTGCAGCCATCCCCATCCCTCCCCCAGTGCTGAGCCCCACACCAGGGCCAGGCCTTGCACCCATGTCCCCACAGGGACCCATCCGTGCTCCTCCCTGGGTGCCCAGCACCCCAGATCCCAGTCCTGGGAGCTGTGCTCTGCCCTTCAAGGACAAGCTCTGTGCGGCCGTGAGGTTGCGATACCATAATTTATGCAAACACCTGAGCAGAGCGGGTGAGGTCCCCCTCCAGGCTGACTGCTCCCAGCACCACCCTGCAGGGCACAGAACCCCAAAAGCTCCCTGATACCCATGGGGCGCAGTGGGCAACCCTTTGTGCCCCACAATGGGGTGCAGGCAGCAAAGAGCAAAGCCAGCCAGCAACACGGGGACAGCCACCCCTGGGGAGCTTCGGGGTGATGTGGGGATGGTTCAGCACCACGTGCCCCATGGTGTCCCCACCCGGGAGGTCTCCACGGGGGACGTGGTGCACAGGGGATGCTCGGCCGGTGCCGGTGTGGAGGCATCGACTGCATCTCGAGGAAGCGCTGGATGGCTTCCAAAGCACCGGCTGCTGGCAGTGAGAGCAAGCAGAGGCAAATAAGGTGAAGGCTGGAGGGCGTGTGGGGCTGCCCCGAAGGGCCGTGAGCTGCCCAGGGGCTCTGACCCCACACCCCCCCTCAGGTCTCCACCGGCCCATGCAGTAATCAGGGCGCGTGGCACAGCACCTGCTCTCATCATCGCTGCACCGCACACTGAGGTAAGGAACCAGGGCTGCAGCCACGGTGTGGGTGATGGGCTTGTAAATCGAGTCTGTGGGGCAGAAATCCTGGTGTGGGATCCTCCCCACCCAGCCCTGCCTGTTAGGGCTGCCCATAGCGGGTTGTGTGGGGAGGACACCTTGTCCTGAGGGCTGCTCTGGGGCAGTGAGCAGCGCGCACAGGAAGCGCAGTGCTTGTCTCCCTGCCTCTAGAAACTGAAAACACAGAGAGCAGCCTCACATCCACTCACAGCCTTGTGCTCACAGCTGGGAGGGCAGCGGGGCTGGGGGCAGAGGGGTGCAGGTAAGTGCCACCATGGTGGGGGGTGAGGGGGGTCCAGGGCGCGCGGTGGCAGCGCGGTGCTGTTCCACTCTGTGCTGTTTCTCTCGCTCAGGTCTGCTGGCCATGGGCAACCTGATAAAGGTATTGGGCAAAGATTTAGAAAACTGTCCTCATTTTTTCCTGGATTTTGAAAGTAAGTCCCGTGAGCAGGGTGAAGTGGGGAGGGGGCTGGGGCCGCTGCGGTGGCCGCTCCCCAGAAGATGGGGACAGGCACAGAGTCCTCAAGCAGCATCGTGTCCTTGAGGCTGTCCTGGATGCACCCTACAAAGGCTGCATGGGGCTGGGGAGCGAGGCTAGACCCGAGGAGATGTCCCACACCTGCCACAAGGGTCCTGCATGGGGACACATCCCAGCCAAGTGAGGAGGACATGGGACACGTGCCAGGACCCGGCACAAGGGACGTGCCCGTTGCTATTAATCAGTGGCACTTGGAGGCCATGCAGCACGTCCCCCTGTCACCATGGCTGGGACAGCCTGAAGGCTGGGGATGCCGGGAGCGAGGCGGGAGGACCTGTGGCACAAGGGTTGGGCTCAAGCACCCCAGTGCCCACAGGTTCCTGGTACGATGCCTGTGGATGCAGCTCAGGGATGCTCCTGTACAGGCTGTGTACAGGGATGCGATGGCAGATGTGGCCGTGGCGGGGGGCTCAGCCTGGCGCAGCCTCCAGCCCCTTCCTGCCTCCCCCTCCTTCCTCCCAGAGCTCAGCGCAGAACGAGAGCGAGGGGCGTAAATATAGAGCAGCAGCAACCGCGGGGCCCGGCCCCGGCCGCGGCGGGAAGAGGCTGCGCGCAGCTCCGCATCGCCGCCAGCACCAAGCATCCCAAAATAGGCAGCGCGGCCGGGGCTGGGACCGCAGCAGGAGGGGCCCTCGGTGCACACAGCCCTCTCCATCCCTCTGCGCGGGGCTGCGGCCGCTCCCCAGGACCCCCATTCTGGGACTCACCCACCGCATCGCCCTCCTCGCTGGAGCCCGGCGGCTCTCCTCGCTCCGCTCCGCTCCTTCCGCTCCATCGTTCATCGCAGCGCCCATCTCCATCCGGGAGGAAGAGGGCCGGGAGGATGGGCTCTGCCCCGCTGCCCGCAGCACCTCTTCCCCGATCCCACCTCGCCGTCATGCTTTTTTCCTCTTGTTTCTTCTCTTGCAGGTTTCACATGGGGAACCTTCTTAAAGTGTTGACTTATAACGAACTTGAACAAGGCCCTAATTTTTTCCTTGACTTTGAAAGTGAGATGGGATTTTTATTTTCCTTTTTTTGTTTCTTACCTTATGAGTTCCACATCCACGCCATTTGAGTTCCCATGCCCGCCGTTCATCGCACCGCCCCCATCCCAGACGCCCGCCCCATTGCCGCCCCAGGGATCTCCCCGGGGAGGGGGCAGCCCCATGGCCGGTTGCTCCCACTGCACCCCTCAGGGTCAGCCCCCCGGGGTCAGCGCGGGGCAGGGGCTGCTCTGGGGCAGCGGGACGGGGACATCACCAGCCGCGGCCGCCCCGTCCCACTCAGAGCCCTCCGGGTTTCTCTCCCCGGGGCGCTGCCCTGCAGATGCGCAGCCGACAGAGGCTGAGACTGCGGTGTGGAACCAGGTGAACGCCGTGCTGGAGGAGTCGCAGGGCGTGCTGGCTGAGCTGCAGTCCTACACAGGTGCTGGGCAGGAGATTCGAGAGGTGGGTGCAGCCCCCGCCCCGCTGTTCTCCCCGTAGCTGGGGGTCACCCCGCTGCTCTCCCCACAGGCCATCCAGAACCCTGGGGACCTGCAGCTGCAGGAGAGGGCATGGAGCGCCGTGTGCCCCCTCGTTGCCAAGCTGAAGCGCTTCTATGAGTTCTCTCTGCGGCTCGGTGAGCCCTCCCCTGCGCCCTCATTGCACTGCCATTGCAATCCCGCTGCGCTGCCCCGTGCCTCACTTTCCCCACCTGGCACTGGGGTGACAGCAGTGCTCTGTCTACAGAGAACGCTCTGCGCAGCCTTTTGGAGGCCCTCACCTGCCCCCCGTACCCCCCCACGCAGCACCTGGAGCGGGAGCAGGCCTTGGCCAAGCAGTTTGCTGAGATTCTGCACTTCACCCTCAGCTTTGATGAGCTCAAGGTGTCCCCCGTGGGCTGCAGGTCCCACGCTGTCCCCATACCCAACCCCACATCAGCCCCAGTGCTGATTTTTTGCATGATGCTGAAGCTGGGCCATGGAGCATTGCCCTCCCAGCCATGGGGCTCACCCTGGGCACACTGAGCAGCCCTAATCCCGTCCCCTAATGCTGTGCTCCCCCTAGATGACCAACCCCGCCATCCAGAATGACTTCAGCTACTACCGACGGACCATCAGCCGAAACCGCATCAACAACCTCCAGGTGAGAGGGGCCCCCCAGGACCACCTCCCTGAGGAACAGCGGTGCTGCCACCAACCCCATGCCCCCCCCACCCCACAGCTGGATGCGGAGAGCGAGGTGAACAACGAGATGGCCAACAGGATGTCCCTCTTCTATGCCGAGGCCACCCCTATGCTCAAAACACTCAGCAATGCCACCACCAAATTTGTCTCAGAGGTGAGTGGGGCTGGGGCGCTTGGAGGGGCTGAAGCAGTGGTGTGAGGAAGCCCTCTGGCTCCAGGCAGGGCTGGGACTGGGCTGGGGACCCTGCAGGAAGCCCCCGGGGTCCCTTTGCTTTCAGAACAAGACGCTCCCAATTGAGGACACGACCGACTGCCTGAGCACCATGGCCTGCGTCTGCAGGGTGATGCTGGAGACCCCGTGCGTATCCACCCTGCGGGCACTGGTTTGGGGTCCTTCTGCTCCCTCCCCAGCTCTGACCCTCTCTTTGCAGGGAGTACCGCAGCCGTTTCACCAACACCGAGACGCTGCTGTTCTGCATGCGGGTGATGGTCGGGGTCATCATCCTCTATGACCACGTCCACCCTGTGGGGGCCTTTGCCAAGACCTCCAAGATCGACGTGAGTGCCCTTGGGGGGAGGTCACAGCCACGCCGCATGTCCTAAAGCAGCAGCGATGCCTATGGGGCACACCCCATGGGGACACCTCTGTGTGAGCTGAGCCAGAGGGGAATTTGATCCCTGGGGGCTGGGAGGGGGGGAAACATATGGGTCCATTTGGGCACTCACCACCTCTTCTGTTCCCTGTGCAGATGAAGGGGTGCATCAAAGTCCTCAAGGACCAACCCTCCACCAGCACCGAGGGGCTCCTGAATGCACTGAGGTGAGCAGGAGGGGGGGGAGCAGGGGGACCCATCTGCTCCCGAGAGCCCTCCATGGCTGCGTGGTGACGGTCCCCACTTCCAGGTACACCACCCGGCACCTGAATGACGACACCACGTCCAAACAGATCCGGGCGCTGCTGCAGTGAGCGCAGCTCCGCATCCCAGTGCACATCACTGCGTCACCCACACCATGCCCATGCCACTCATTTTGTACGGAGGGAAAAGGGACAACAGAGATTACACAGAAATAAATCAGAACGGCCCCAAAAAGCCACCCTGCCGTGTTCCTGTGCACCCCCCCTCCCAGAACAGCTCCTGGATGCGCTCCCACCGCCCTGAGAGCAGCGCCCAGGGATGTGGGGTGCGGGTGGCACCGCGGGGACATTGGGCCAGGCAGGATGGGGCTGGGGATACCGGGGGTACAGGCATCGCCCCCGGCCTCACACGTGCAGGGGAGAGGAAGAGGAAGGAGCATCGCTGTGCTGACTGCAGGAATCGGCTCGGCCCCACCCGGTGGATTTTTAATATACGTGATTAAATCGCCACTCACCTCTTTTTTTGTACCTCTTTTTTTTTTTTTCTTTTGGGGGGTCGGTTGTGAAATAAGATGACATTTAATCTGTCCAAGGACGGAGCGGGGCCGTGCGCGGTACGTCCAATCCCGGACACGCGGGTCCGATCGTCGCAGTCCGCCAAACCGCCACCGCCGGCAGAGGGCGCTGTGACACCGCGACACAGCGCGACGGCGCCGGGGCCGAGCCGGGCGTGGGTCGCTGATGGGCGCCTCGTGCTGCCGCAGCCGGAGCGGCGGCCCGGAGCCTCGCGCCGCAGGGAGCCCCGCGCAGCGCCCAGGAGCTGCAGCTCAGACCGCAGCCGCGCCGCTCAGCGGGGCCGCGGGAGAGGACAGCGACGTTGCAGGGCCCGGCCCGAACCGTTTTCTAATCCCAGTGCAATTAATGACCTTATCTTTGGCCAAAGCCATTTAGGTTAAGTGGCCGGCGCGATGGGCTCGGCGGCTCCGGCTGCACAGATGGAAGAGCCGCGTTTGTCTGCGGATTAGCGGAGGGCAGATGGAGCGAAGCGCCGCGCCCCAGCCCAAGCCGCTAGGCCCCGGCAGCGGCCTGGAACCGGAGAGCGCAAAACCCAGCGGGACCGGGGAGACGCGGGCATCGCTCAGCGCTTGGGCGGGCCGGGCGCTCAGCCACCGGCACCACGCCGCCTCCGCCCGCCGCCAGCCGCGCACAGCGCAGCGCCGCCCCGCGCTCAGTCCAACGGCGGAGCTGAAACGCGCCGGCTTCTCGAGCAGCAAATCGCCGCGGAGACGCCGCCTCCGGCCTTGCGTGGGAGCCGCGAGCACATCGGCAGCCGCCACCTCTCGGAGCAACAACGCTCACCTGCTTCGCGCTGCCGGTGCGCGCTCCCACCTTCCCTTTCCCAGCACGGCTGAGTTAGCGATGCTGACAGCTGCCCGTTCTCCTGAGCCATAGGGGAGCCGCTGCCCCACAGGAAGAGGGCAGCACAGGGCAGGGACCCGTCCACACAAGCAAGCTCCGAACAGAGCAGGCAGGTTCGAGCTATTGTGGTGGGTATATAATGTATCTGCTGGGAAAACAAAGTTCGTATTAAACCGATTACGGATATTAAACCCACTTCTAACGACGCGGCCATCTGAGCGTCCCCAGCAGGCAGAGCAGACGATCCCACCCCTCACTCACAGAGCTGCTCCACGGTGAGGCGACGCATCGCACTGCAGGGCAGCAGCGAGTGGGGCTTCACCCCCAGCCTCAGCGCATCTATCGCCCGGCACGGCCCCGAGCAGCGGGCCCTGAGCAGGGCCGAGCCCACAGCCAGTGCACCGCGGTCAGCAGATGGCAAACAAGTCTGGGCCAGAGCAGGGCTTCAGCTGGAGCCGCACAGCATCCCAACGCTGGCGCCCAGCTCCGCACAGTGCTGGCACGCCAAAGTGCACCCAGCTCTCCCCAGACATTGACTTCAGTGCAAGCTTCCTGCATGCTTCTACCCAACAGCCCAAAGCAGCTGCCTCATGCAGCGCCACAGAAATAATTCGGTGCTGATGAACTTAGGTTTACTGCAGAGCCCCAGGGGCAGATCTGCCCACGCGGCCCTTCCCCTCGCAGGCTGTGCCCCAGGAGCCATCTGACACACGGTGATTTGTGATCAGTCGAAGGAAAAAACGGTGCTCCACCACCTCCAAAGCCTCCCAGGAGGATCCATGATCCAGGGATCCAGGAAACCCAGGAGAATCCCTATTGTGCTGGAAAAGGCCTCCTGGCTTTCACCAGAGCCACAAGTGGGGAACGAAGACAGCGCTCCCATTCTCGAGGAACAAAGCTGAGGCAGCAACTGCCTCACAGACACACAGCACCAGGAATTTGCTGCTCAGCAACTCGGATTCAAATGCAGGAGCGGGTCCCACTGCCAAACCACAGCGTAAACCCCCAGGAATTCAGCTTGAACCAGGACAGACTCATCTGCTGCAAATTTGATGAGATCATTTCCAAGTTCCCGTTTAACAGGTGCCAGCTCTTTCTGCACCTGCTGCGCGCGGCCTGCACCACGCTGAGAACATCTGCTCAGCTCCCGGAGTGAAGCTGCAAAAAGGGGACGGGAAGAAGGAGCCGGGCTGGACATCCCACCCTGTGCCTGGAGCAAGGAACCTGGGCCAGATGGAAACAGAGAGCAAGCAAGCTCAACTTTTTTAATAGGCAGGGGAACCCACAGTAATCCAGTGCCTTTATTTCCATATAAATTCAAAAAAAATCCTCTCCACAAAAAGGCAGTGAGAGCTCACTTGGGCCCTGAGGTGCACTGCTGGCCAAGCTGCAGGAGCACAGTACTTCTGTCTCTGAGAACAACACACCTGGAGACACAAAGGAGAAGCTCCACCTTCCCAGGGACAGCGTGAGCCTGCGGCCGGAGTGAATGCAGGGCACGGGACGCCCAGCAGCCTTGGCCCAGGGCCAGCCCTCTGCAGGCAGGGCAGGAGAAGCAGGGAACACAGCAAGACGAGGCCACATAAAGGGGCTCTGACGCAGCCCACGGCCTTCTGGCTGTCACTCACACACCTGCCTCATCCCCCAAAAATGACTCGGCTCCTTTGGGTCAAGGCCACCCAGGACTCGGCCTTTCCCCGCCGTCCAGGTGGAAGCACGTTCACAAGCCTATGGAAAAGGCATGCTGCTGTCCTCGCCCGAGGTCTCTGCACTCCTGCTGTCCCTCGCCGTCTCTGCAGCATGCTCAGCAGCCTCCAGCTTCTTTCTCTTCTTCAGGTGGTGCAGGTGGGCTTTGGATCGTGTGTGAGCTGGAGGAAGAGGCAAACAAGCTTTTAACTCTGGGGAACCTGGGGAAGGGAGCTCCTGGCCTGATTTGCTCTGCATCAAACAATCAGGGCGCAGCCTTCAAGCCTTCCCCTGAGGAGAAGAAGGTGGGAAAGGGAAAAGTCCCGGGTTTGTATGCAGAAAGCCCCCAGCTGTCAGGATGCAATGCCCCACAAGTTTGCTCTACCTGAGCTTCCACCTGCAGGAGGAAAGAAAGGCAAGTGTTAGCAAACACTGCAGAATGTGCATGAGGAGCAGTGCTCCATCAGCCCATGGAACGAGGCCAGGATCATTTGTAAGCCTAGATGTGCCTGCACCGCAGCACTGGGTGCATCGCAGAGCAGACAGGGACGGAGCCCAGAGCACAGTTCTGCTTTTGCACAACTCCAGGGCAAGGCCTGCAGCTACGAGAGCCCTGCAGGAGTCTGACGGGAGCAGAGGTGTGATCCCAAGGAAGCAAACTGCACTGACAAACCAGGGCAGCAAGAGCTGCACTTCTGTTTGCTGCCAAGGGCAGCAAAACCTCCCATGTCAGTGGTATTATCTACAAAGCAGGAGCTCTGTCTAACCAGACCAATGTAACAGCAGCAAGGCAGTTTCGCTGTTGCCAAGAGATCAGAGTGGCAATTAAAGCAGCAAACTTTTCAAGCAGGGCCTTAATTAAACAATAGTATGTTCTTGCTGAATCAAGGCCCTGAGGTGTTTTCCAGTCATCCTCTTCTGTCAAAGGATAAAATTGCAAAGCTGCTGCTTCATCGCAACACCGTGGGGTCACCCCCAGCTTGAAACAAAGTCACAGCCCTTACAATTTGTTGTAAGCAATGCCAAAGCTTAGAGCAGCTCAGGAAGCACTGATTTCAGCGGTGCCACACACCGTAAAGTTAGAAGTTAAAAATCTCCTGGAGCCAGCGGGGTTTTGGGGAGCAGACCCAGAACTATCTGCAACTTAAAGCAGGAGAGCAGACTGCAGGCTGACCCAGCCCCCACTACTGCCTTCACTTCCTTTTGAGCTCTTGCATTTTGCAGTTAAATAGCACCAAGTTTGGGGCAATCCTTCTGCCATCTGGGATTGCAGCCACATCCAGCAGGATGCTGAGAACACACAGCTGGTCGTGGTTTGAAACGGTGCATCTCAACCTGGGACAACGTCCCCAGAGGAGAAGCTGTTCCAACTGTTGTGTCTGCAGCTACCTTAGGGTGCTCCCACCCTGCCATACATCTTTACAACTTGCTGCACCTGGAAGGACAGCACACATTCTGCTAATTTTCAGAGTTCTCTGGCTCTGAAGCTTCTTGAAAGTACCTCCAAGCTCCAGCACCTGAGACTGGCTGCAATGCCAGTTATACTTACAAATTGGTCTGGTGGAAACGGCCTCCCCACAGCGAGCCAACTCCCACCTCTGTTTCCAGCAGTTCCCTGGATCAGAGGTAATGAATGGCTCATTCAAATCTGATCACCAATGATCTGGGCACGGCTTATCTTTGCGTTATCTCTGCATATTCCGCATTCGGGCAACACAAGGAGGTTTATCAGTTCCATTTCTGCAGTGTTTCTCAACTACTTTCTGTTTCTGGTTCTCAGCATGAGCCTCGCAGCACTGATAAATTCTGTTAACCTGATTCCAACAGAGCGCTTTTAAACTAAGTCCACTGAAAACAGAAAATTCTTTACTATCATCACTGCAGCTGGGAATACCTTTTTTTTTTAACATACAAATACGAAAAATTATAGCAAAACCAAGCAAAACCACGCCATTACAGACATTAAGAACCTTTCTTCTCACACAGCATTTCAGAAAATCTGAATCTGCTCTGCTTTTAGACCAGCTGAAGTGCTCACAAGGACGAGCTGGGGCCAAACGCAGGCATCTCACACAGAACCCAGCGCCTGGCGTGACGGCAGCGCCGCGCAGTGCTCCCCAGGGCAGCCCGACAGATGGCTGCTGTGGCACAGCTCCCGCACCCCCCTCAGGCCTCACAAATGGCTGCTTTCACACACGGGCTGTAAGCAATCCCTGAAAGCCCAGGATCGTGTGCTGAGGGTCACCTGGCCACGCAGCGCCAGCCAAGGAGGTCGCCTCACGCCGCTCCCTGCGCGCAGCCCCGCTGTGCCGAGCCCCGCAGGCCCTACCTGCCCACTCCCTGTCCCCGATGATGACTCTGCTGCA